CATCTAGTCCAACCCCCTGCTCAGGCAGGAAACCCTATACCATTTCAGACAAATGGCTGTCCAGTCTCTTCTTAAAAACTTCCAGTGTTGGAGCATTCACCACTTCTGGAGGCAGGTTGTTCCACTGGTTAATTGTTCTAACTGTCAGGAAGTTTCTCCTTAGTTCCAGGTTGCTTCTCTCCTTGATTAGTTTCCATCCATTGCTTCTTGTCCTGCCTTCAGGCGCCTTGGAAAATAGCTTGACTCCCTTTTCTTTGTGGCAGCCCCTGAGATATTGGAACACTGCTATCATGTCCCCCCTCGTCCTTCTCTTCATTAAACTAGACATACCCAATTCCAGCAGCCATTCCTTATATGTTTTAGCCTCCAGTCCCCTAATCATCTTTGTTGCTCTTCTCTATACTCTTTCGAGAGTCTCAACTTCTCTTTTACATCGTGGTGACCAAAACTGGATGCAGTATTCCAAGTGTGGCCTTACCAAAGCATTGTAAAGTGGTATTAACACTTCATGTGATCTTGATTCTATCCCTCTGTTAATGCAGCCTAGCACTGTGTTTTTTAGCAGCTGCAGCACACTGCTGGCTCATATTTAAGTGATTGTCCACTAGGACTCCAAGATCCCTCTCACAGTTACTACTATTGAGCAAGGTACCCCCCATACTATACCTGTACATTTAGTTTTTCTTGCCTAAATGTAGAACTTTACTTTTTTCACCATTGAATTTCATTTTGTTAGATAGCGCCCAGTGTTCAAGTTTGGGCGCTATCTAACTGATGTCTGATGTCAGCCTTCTCTGGTAAACCAGACCAAAAAAATGACCAGATAAGCTAATTCTACTTTTCATTGTAAGACAACATTAACACAATCTTGCAAAATCTAAATGCACAAATCTGCTCGCCTCCTTCACTGAAAAGGGATGAGAAACTAGGGACGGATCCTTCTGAGCCTCTTATTAAGCAGTTGTGGGCAATGTCCTGTCTTATCTGACTGTTCCCTAGGCAGCATCTCGACTCTCAAGGTCTTTCTCACATAGATAGAACAATGTTCTTTGCACTGTATATTGTGCGGGAACTCTGACTCAACCGTTTTCTTGGAAGTGTTGACAGTTGAATCAACTATTTGTCCAGCAGAGGGGGCTTAAACATACAGCAGACAGAAATGTTTTCTCTTAAGAATTGGAATGTGAGAACAAATGGCTGCAACTTATTTTATTATATTATTTTTTTTACTATTTGCAGTTCTAGCCAGTAGGAATGGAAGAAGTACATTGTAAACTAGTAAGCAACTGCATTAAATATGTTTGTAAGACAACTACGTTAAAAGGAAAGCTTGAGTTGCCTAAATAAGACAAGGCACCAGGATGGTTTCCCTTTAAAAAAAAAAAAAAGTGCCATTTTTTCGTTCAGTGGTGAAGGTGCTTGGACTTATTCTTCAAGAACTATCTTTAAGAAGAACAATGGCAATGCCATTTCCATGCCAGCAAGTTAGAAACTTTGCTAAGGAAACACATTTAGTAATTATTAAACCAAACCTCTATTCAACTATTGCTCAAAATCTGTGTAGGTCTAAAGAAGATATGGCTGTGCACAAACCATCCATCCATTCCTGCCATCTCAGTAAGCTGGTGTGAGGATCTAGATTTTTATTGAATGCAGATCTTAATGGATTTTCTTACAGTGACGTTTCTCTTGCATCAAGGAAATTTGAGAGAAAAATACAAGAATGAGGAGGAAGCAGGAAGGAAAAAGGATGAAGAGATGGGGAAAAGAGTGGAGGGGGGATAACAAGGTGGGGTAGAAATGTGGGGGCATTATCTGACACCAGAAGCAAAGAGGATGAAAGTG